GTGGGATTCTCGCTCTCCCTCTGCTTCTCCACCCCCCTCGAAAAAAAGAAAGAAATGTTTCTTTAAATTTTCAAAAAGTAAATGGTCTCTTGTTTGCAAAACATGCCATTATACTTATGGTGGATATTCATCATGTTTGTGGATAACAAATATCTTTGAACACCTTTCTAGAATTGGGGAATTTCCCATTTTATAAATCCTACTTCTCCAGGACCAGAAGTCAGGCAGTGCTCTCTCAGACTCTCCTGTAATTAGGCACAGGCTATTACCAATCAGGCAACAATAATAATACCACAGGTTTTACCAATCAGAGATACCTGCACCAGACATCAGTTGCAAAGTAAAAAATTGGAGAAATAGTGTGGACAATCCTGGGGCAAGTGTAGTGCCAGAGCTTCTGTTGTCTGTTCCCCAGCATCACTAATGGGAGCCACAGGATCTGGGCAGCAGTGGCTGCAGGAGAGGTATGTTGGCCAGAACAGGGTGTGGTTCTGGGTTTTTTGCTGCATAGCCTTTGATTCTGTCTCTCTGCCCATCCCATTGGAATTTGTGAAATTCCAAATATCATTGAACAGATTCCCTTACTGAGGAAATTATCCAGAATAAGTTCTGTTGCTTGCAATAAAGAATTAGACTTATCAGGTAATTATCCGTTATTCAGATCATTCTATGAGATAATAATAGAATCTGTTTTGCAACTTAATAGGAGAGACCCTGTGTACCCTTTACTCAGTTTCCTCCAATGGTAACATCATGCAGAACTGTAGTACAATTTCACAACCAGGATATTTTTTTTGTAATATTTATTTAAGTGATCTCTGTACTCAACATAGGGCTTGAACTCATGACCCCAAGATCAAGAGTCACACGCTCTTCCAACTGACCCAGACAGGTGCCCCACAACCAGGATATTGACATTGATACGGTTAACATCCAGAACATTGCCACCACAAGAATCCTTCATGTTCCCCTTTTATAGCCATACCTACTTCCATCCTATCTCTACCCCTCTTTATCCCCTGGCAAACACTAATTTGCTGTCCATATCCATAATTTTGGCATGTAAACTTTGTTATATAAATGGAATCATTAAGCATGTAATCTTTGGGGTAACCACGCAGCATATGATTCATCCAAATTGTCCCATGTATTGTTACTTTGTTCCTTTTTATTGCTGAGTAATATTCCATGGTATGGGTTACCATGGTTTAACTATCCACCCACTAAAGGGCATCTGAGTTGTTTCCAGTTTGTTCATTACAACTAAGGCTGCTACAGATATTTGTGTACAGCTTTTAGGTGAACATAACTCTTTATTTCTTTGGGATACTTGCTCAGGAGTATAGTTGGCCAATAATATAGTAGTGCCTCACTTAGTTTTTAAGAAACTGCTAAATTGTTTTCCAGAATGGTTGTACCCTTTTACATTCCCACAAACGATGTGTGAGTAATCCAGTTTCTCTGCATTCTCCCTAGCACATGGTTGCCAATATTTATTTTACACATTCTGATACATGGTGGTGATATTTCATTAAAGTTTTAATTTGCATTTCTCTAATGGCTAATGATATTGAACATTTTTCAATGTGCTTATTTGCCACCTTTACATCCATTTTGGAGAAATGCCTCTTAATGTCTACTGCCCATATTCTAATTGGATTCTTTGTCTTTTTGTTGTGGAGTTTTGAGAGGTTTTTAAAAATGTATGTCTTAGATACTAGTCCTTTGTTGGATATGTAGCTTGCAACTATTTTTTTTCCTCAGTCTTTAGTCTGTATTTTTATCCCCTTGACATGGTTTGGTGCACAGTAAAAAATTTTAATTTTGATGAAGTCCAATTTGTTAACTCTTTCTTCTAATGACTGTGCTTTTGGTCCAAAGGCCTGAGAACCAGGAGCACCAATGTCCAAGGGTAGGAGAAGATGGATATCTCAGCTCAAGCAAAGGCAGCAAATTTGTCCTTCCTCTTTTTATTCTATTCAGGCATGTGGCAGATTGGATGATGTCCACTCACCGTGGTAAGGGTGACCTCCCCACCTTCCCTCCTCCCCCACAAGCTTCATTGAGATACAATTGGCATACAACATTGGGTGAGTTTAAGGTATACAATGTGATGACTTGCTACACATATATAAAGAAGTGAGTGGTGGTGTTGAAAAATACTAAAAAATAAAGGACAAAGATTTCCTTTTGAGACATTATTGACATGTACATATTTCAAACTTCAGTCTTTGGGGCATTACACTACCTTCAAGTTTTTGCCATGTTTAATACCAACCCAATTATTATATTTTAAATATATTTTTAAATTAATTTTCTAACTTAATTAAATAAGCTTATGTATTCTAGTCTTGTACCTATAAAAGAGAAAGTATATATAGAAATTAAAATATATTTTTTTATTTTTTAATAAATTAATTTTTATTGGTGTTCAATTTACCAACATACAGAATAACACTCAGTGCTCATCTCGTCAAGTGTCCCCCTCAGTGCCCGTCACCCATTCACCCCCACCCCCTGCCCTCCTCCCCTTCCACCACCCCTAGTTCGTTTCCCAGAGTTAGGAGTCTTTATGTTCTGTCTCCCTTTCTGATATTTCCCACACATTTCTTCTCCCTTCCCTTAAATTCCCTTTCACTATTATTCATATTCCCCAAATGAATGAGAACATACACTGCTTGTCCTTCTCCAATTGACTTACTTCACTCAGCATAATACCCTCCAGTTTCATCCACGTTGAAGCAAATGGTGGGTATTTGTCATTTCTAATGGCTGATAGAAATTAAAATATTAAAAGCAGTCCATGTAGACTTGTCCCTAAATTGTTTCAAAAATCATACATTTTTCTTTCCCAGAGATGATCCCTAACTCTCAATATGGCTCCCTTTGAAAAAGCAATTAGAATGTCCCCAACCTTGACCCAGTGATCTATTTCTTCCTCCTCTGGTCAGCCTACCCAGTATTGCCTATGACATCAAGGCTTACTTGGGTTCACTCATGACAGGATTTGTTGCTCCTTAGGAGGAAGCTTCTTAATTGTTATCACTAAAATCAAGTGATCTGAGAGGTAAATTGTCACTGATAGACATACCTGAGAGTGCTATGATATGTAGATAAATGTTCCATCCTTAATTTTGATGCTTTTAGCCCTGTCATTGTGAGCTGGTTATGGTCACCAATAAAGATATGATCTTCTTTTCCCTTTTTTTAAAAAATTTAAATCTAATTAGCCAACATATAGTATATCATTAATCTCAGATGTAGTGTTCAACAATTCATCAGTTGCGTATAACACCCAGTGCTCATCATATCATGTGCCCTCCTTAATGCCCATCCCCCAATTACTCTATCCCTCCACCCACTTCTGCTCCATCAACCTTCAGTTTGTTTCCTAGAGTTAAGAGTCTCTCATGGCTTGTCTCCCTCTCTGATGACTTCCCAAATAGTTTTCCCTCCCTTCTCCTATGATCCTCTGCAGTGTTTCCTATATTTTACATATGAATGAAACCATATGATAATTGTTTTTCTCTGATTTATTTCACTCAGCATAATGCCCTCCAGTTCCATCTGAGTCAATGCAAATGGTAAGTATTCATCCTTTCTGATGACTGAGTAGTATTCCATTATGTGTACACACACACACACACACACACACAGCATCTTCTTTATCCATTCATCTGTTGATGGACATCTTGACTCTTTCTACAGTTTAGCTATTGTGCACACTGCTCTTATGAACATTGGGGTGCAGCTGCCCCTGCAGATCTCTACATTTGTATCTTTGGAGTAAATGCCTAGTGGTGCAGTTAGCAGGGTTGTAGAGTAGCTCTATTTTTTTTTTTTATTTATTTGTGATAGTCACACAGAGAGAGAGAGAGAGAGGCAGAGACACAGGCAGAGGGAGAAGCAGGCTCCATGCACCGGGAGCCCGACGTGGGATTCGATCCAGGGTCTCCAGGATCGCGCCCTGGGCCAAAGGCAGGCGCCAAACCGCTGCGCCACCCAGGGATCCCCAGTAGCTCTATTTTTAACTTCTTGAGGAACCTCCATACTGTTTTCCAGAGTGTCTATATCAGCTTGCATTCCCATGAAGTGTGCAAGAGGGTTCCCTTTTCTCCACATCCTCCCCAACATTTGTTGTTTCCTGAAAGACATGACCTTCAAAAGGTGAAACGAATGTTTGAGAGTCTGGAGAATAATAGCCTCCAAGGCAGTCATAACAAGGTCAAGCCATGAAGAATAGGTGAAAGAGTTTAGACAGAAGAAGATTCTGATGAAGAAGAGCCTTCCAAAAATAGAAACTTAATGACTGAGGGTCTCAATAGTTCAGAGTTTGCTTCAGTCTAGGCTTTGATGATTGTTGATTTTATAACTTGGAGCAAGTGTACTGTACTTCCATGTATCTCAGTCTTCTCATCTGTAGAATGAGGAAAATAGCTCTCATCTCTCTCATAGAAGACTGAATGGAAAATATATGCATGAGCAAAGCGTTTATTGGAGTCCCTGTCATATAAGCAGTGCTCAGCAAAAAGTAGATACTATTGTAATTATTATTATTTGATATTGTTATGGTATCAAACAGAAGATCCTGGAATTCAAATAGACTGCACAGAATGCTAAAAGCAACCAGGAAGCAGTATCTGCCAAGATGAAGACGTGCCTGCTCCTGTGGTTGCTTGCCAGTCTCTCTGGATGCCTACAGCCAATTGTGACGGCTCTACTGGAGGTGTGTGGGGTGCTGGGGCCTGGTGGTGACGGTGCTGGTGATGACTCACTGCACAGTAGGACGTGGGAGATAAGGGGGTTATATTCCTGAGACAGGTCCCAGAACAGAAGCAACTTTGCCTCCAGGAGGCACCAGGGTGGGGAGGGGCAGACTGGCAACTGTGTTGCTGTATCTCCATGGTTGGCTCAGCCTCTCTAGGACAGAGAGAGAGAGAGAGAGAGAGAGAGAGAGAGACATGAAGCCCAGGCCACAGTGGCTGTTCACAGAGCTCATGTAACAGCTCTTACCTAATCTGAATCGTCCCTCCTACCATTTTCCTAGAGAAGCATCAGCCCAGAGGAAAGAAACATGGAGGGGAATAGGTGCGAGGGAGCTAGAAGTGCAAGGTTGATCATCTGGGAAAGGGGAGATAAAAGAGAAGGTACAATTGATTTATATCCAAAGAGACAGAAAACTTCTAAAATCCCGAGTCATCATTTCAGTCTCAAGGTGATTCCTATAGCAGCCCTTAACCATGATCCCCCTTTCTACCACAGGCATCACCATTCTCCTGGTCATCCAGAAACAAGCTATGATGGCCATCTGTGTCTGTTACACTAGCTCCCTCCTCCCCAACTCCATCAGCTTCTGTGACTTCATTTCCTTCCATAAAGTTTTTCTGTCCATGTATTTACATCCCCTGCACGGTCGCCCAGGGCCAAGCTGTCACTTCCTAATTCCTGTACCACCCAAGTATACCAATGTATCTCTCATGTCTCATCTTAATCAGTCCAGATCCCCAGTACCATACCAGCTTTCCACAGCTGCAATTTTCATCATGTTAAATTCTTCCTCAGAAGACTTGAATCTCTCCTTTTGTAATGCCCAAAGTCCTGACTTTTCTTCATGACTTTCATGATACTCCATAATATGGCCTCCATAGGCATGTTAGCTGTGTTCCACTTCACTAACCATGGCCGGGGGCGGGGGGTGCTTACCTCCATCCCAACACACACACCATCGCCCAGTGCTGATGTAGGCAGGAAATACTGCTGAGGTTCCATGAGAGGGACTATCCTATTTTGCCTGGGATGGGAAAACAAGGGACAGAAGTGAAATACCTTCTCTCAGAAATATGCTCACTGTGACCACAGTGAGATCTCAGTAGGATGTGGGAAAGACAGTTTCTGGCTTGGAATGCAGTTCATTCCTACACATATTTATAAAGCATCGTGGGAAGATACGAAGGAAAAAGGGACACCATCCCTGCCACTAAAGATTTGCAATCACTAGGGAGATGAAGACTCAAGCCACCTGTGGAAGAGAACACAGAATCAAAGAGTCAGTAATGCCTCCTTCTTTTGTAGAAGGTACAAGACCCCGTGAAGTGGGCAAGGCAAATATTAGACTCATTTTCTACAGGATAAAGCTTTCTTACCTGCTTGAGAATTTAAGTGGCTTGTTTATTGTCACAGGACTAATAATTTAGCAGATCAGGGTCTCCTGGCTGTGCAGTCCTCTGCCTGCAGACAGTGAAGTTATGACATACTCTGAGAGCCATCAAGCATTCCCAGGAGCTGTGAGAGCTCTTGGCTAAGGTGGCATTTACCTGCAAATTGAAGGATCCGGGAGATTTCAATCATAGGAGAAAGGAGTGAAGAAAGAATATTCCAGAAATAAAGAAACTCCATGAGCAAGGGCACAGAGCAGGACAAGAGGAGCCACCCAAGGGCAAGATGGCTTGGGGAGTGAAGACTCCCTCCCTTTGCCTCCCCTGAGAAGCTGAGATAAAGGAGGAGGAGAGGCCTGAGTGTCTCTGCACTGATAAACAGACTCCACCCAGAGGCCAATAGCATGGGTATGGGGACAGGAGGGTCAAGTGGCAGAAGTGCCCCTTCTCCAGGACAAATGAACTGGGGTGGGGGTAGGAGGGAGGCCATTTCCTGAACCCCTGTTTCCAGACTCAGCACTTAGGGTGGAACCAGCAAGGCTTCCGGGAGCCAGAGGGAAGTGAGAGACGGCAAGTCCCCTGGCAAGTCCCCTGGCAAGTCCCCTGGAGAAAACCCTTCCCTTCTGGGGTCAGATGCCTAGGGTGGGGGAGGGGAGGAATGGTCCCTTGCTCTAGTGCCCTGCCCCCCACTAGAGAGGAGGGAATGTGAGGGTTGGAGAGCAGAAATGGGAGAGAAGAGGAAGGTATCTGGAGAGGGAGGAAAGTAGGGGTGCATCCAGGGGAGGGGCCCCTTCTGAAGCCCTTCTGGGAACACTGCCCTGGATGATAGCGCCTGTGTGACGGGAAGGGAAGCGTCAAAACGACCTGATATAACTCTCTTTAATGCACCCCCTTCCTGAACCAGCTTCTCTCCCCTCCCTCCTCCTCAGTTCAGGAGGGTGGAGACCAGAGTGGGGAAGAACCCAGGCTGGGGGAATGAGCCAGCCAAGTGGAATGGGACCTCCCTGGAACCAGGAGGTAAGTGCCGTCCTTGACCCTTGTGGGGCCGATGTATGACATCCCTTCCAGCCCTAGCATCCCACAAACTCTCACGCCTCATAGTCTGCTTGGTCCTTACCCAGAACAGGTGGCTTTCTTGTTTGCACATCCCTCCGGGTGGTCCAAATAGGGCTGGGTTTAGGGAGAAGGGGAATTTTCTCTCTACAAAGGGCCCCTGGCACTAACTTCTTCCTTCTCTCTCCTCTCCCCTTCTCTTCCTCACCCCTCTGTCCCAATCCCCTCCCTCTTGTGGTTTCACTTCCTGGTTCCCTGCACAGAGATCCCCAGAAGGAAGGCTGCCCACTGAACCGGGCGGACGGTGGTCCACAGTCAGGGGGGTGCTGATCGCTGGCCTGCTTTTCAGTGTGCTCCTTGGCTTCTCTGTGCTTTTGGTCTACGTTTTCCGGAGCTGTGGCCCTAGTAAGCAAGATCCTGGAATCCTCCAACCTAGTCAGCCCTTCCTCCTCAGCCGGAGGCTTCATGTTCCCTGACGTACTCACCCCTGGTCCTGTCTGACCCTCGCTTTCCTTCCCCACTCTGGACTTCTTCCTCCCAATCCCGATCCCGGGCAGTGTTAAGTCCTGTCCTTCTCATAGGGTCCCTCTGCCTTTTCCTCACCAGGCAGTCCTTTGCCGAGCCCCTTGGGGGAGCCCTGTCCCTTTCTCTCTCCCTCTCTCCCTCTCCCAGTTCTGAGCTTTTCCCCACAGGCCCCTGTAGGACGCCAGCATGTTGGGACCTCCTGGCTCGTTACTTGGCCTCTGGGAACACCAGTGTGGCCCCCTGCACCGATTTCTTCAGCTTTGCCTGTGGAAAGGCCAAAGGGACCGATTATTCTTTCCAGGCCCTTGCAAAGGAGAACAAAGATCGACTTCGGAAAATACTGGGTGAGGCATTCTGGGCAAGTGGGTGACCCTGAGCCTAGAACCGTCTTGCTGTCCCAAACCTGTGTGGTTGTGAGACCCCTGGTTTGCTTCTCTTGTCACTATGGCTTGCACCTCAGTACCTCCCCTCTTCTGGTCCCTCTCATCACCTCTCCTTGCCTACTTACCCATGACTACGGCGTTCTCTTCAAGCTCTCCCTCTTTGTTATTGCTCCCACTGTGTCCCCTCACACCTGCTGCATGTAAGTTCATGTGTCCATTACTCTCAGCCCCCAGCCCCCCACCCTGCTTGTCTCCCAGAGCCCCTGTCAGTGTCACCCTCTCCCTCTGGACACTTCTCCACTCCTCTCAGCATTATCTTCTGTTCTCCATGGAAACCTTGGATCTTGGTGTGCAAGCTCTACTGGAAGAAATGGGATACTTCAGGCTGGTTGGCTGGGGCGATGTGGCCAGTGGGGTGAGAAGTTGGGGAGACAGGGGTTATCTGGCTGTGTGCCAGGGAATAGATCCAGACAGGCACAGAGGGTGTGATGGAAGAGTAGAGGGCCCACCTGAAGCCCTGGGGTACAGAAGAGGCCTGTACAGGGTGGCTATGTGTGGAGAAGACAAAAGAACTGAGAGGAAAAATCTGAGGAAGGAGCTGCCACCATCTGGGAGGTTGGAAGTGGGCCCCAGGAAGTTGGAGGATGGTGGTGAAGATGGGGAATGAGACAGGGGGCGGGGGGGGGGGGTACTACCGGCATGTATTTCCAGCATAAGGGAACCCAGGGAGTGCATAGCCTTATCCACTGGAATTTGGGACAAATTAATGTATTCCCCCACACACCTCCGCCCCCTCCCCCCCCACTGTCCTCCTTTTTATGAAGAAAGAGTAGAGGCAGGCATTCCCTTGGTAGAGGGCAATGCTTCCAGTCAAGGCCCAGGGATAGAAAGAAAATGTATGCTGAGACTGAATGCTGTTCCCCACGAGAGAGTGAAGGGTTTCGGGGGCTAAGGGACAGGTGGAAGGTATTACAGGGGGACTGATTCCAAATCATATGCCTTTAGGTTATTGCCCTGTGTGTGTGTGTGTGTGTGTGTGTGTGTGTGTGTGCGCGTGCGCGCGCGCATTTCCTGGGGTCTCAAGGGAGGGTCTGGACCCTGTTTCTTCTCCTTGTTAAGCCTTTCTGGATGAGTTTTCCTCCCTCCAGTCCCTCAAAGTCCTCCGGTTTCCCAAATGTTTCTAATCTCTTCACTCACCTTCCCTCTACCTTCCATTGCACCCTTTCTCCTGTACCCACAGGTGCTCCTAGATGTTCCCATCTCCCTTCTCTCCCGTGTCTTTTCCTCCCTGATTCTCTTCCATGTCTCGTTTATTTTTCTCAATCTTTCCCACACTCCCTCTCCCTGCACTTGTTCTCCCATCAAGCTGATCCAGCCCTCCTGTCTTCCCCACCCCTGCATCCCTGTGTTCCTCCCCTTCTTTCCATTTCCCCGGGAGTCTTCCTTGTCCCACCTCCCTCCTCGGCTCTATTCTCCTCTAATTCTCTCATGCTTCCTTTCTAGAAACCCCAGGTTCTTGGCACCTGGGCTCTGGGGAAGAGAAAGCCTTCCAGTTCTACAAATCCTGCATGGACACGGGTGCCATCGAAGCTGCTGGGGCTGCCCCCCTGAAACACGTCATTGAGGAGGTGAGACCCTGGCCACTAACGTTTCTAGATACACAACACAAAGGGCCAATGTATGCTCAGGGCTGCCCTCCTTTTTTTCTAGAAAGGGAAGGGGTATCTCTTTCCTAGGGATCTCCAAGTTCCAGGAGGGAGATGGAAATGGAAATGGCAGCACCCTTTGGAAGCATGAGGACCCTGGGTGTGGTAGAGAAAGGACAGAGGTGGAGCTTTGAGGGCTCCAAGCACTCAGAGTAGAGGTCAGGAAGTAGCAGCTGTCTGAGGAAGTGGGGGACAGGTCTCCCAGGCCATCCTCCTGTGCTGAGCCCTGTCTCTCTGCTTCCCAGCTCGGAGGCTGGCGAATCTCCGGTAATTGGACTTCCTTAGACTTTAACCGAACTCTGAGCCTTCTGATGAGTCAGTATGGTTATTTTCCATTCTTCAGAGCCTATCTGCAACCTCGTCCCATCCCTCCGTACACGCCAATCATCCAGGTGAGGGATGCACTGGCAAAAATGCAGTAAGACCTGGGTCTGCCTTGAATTCTAGCCTAGCATCTTCTAGTGGAAGGTTGTGGGCTGGAGAGAGAGGACAAATGTGCAATGTAGGAAAGATTCCTATCTTGAGGGAAAACTGATGTGGTATTCAGGGGCACTAGGCGAAATTAGGGAAAGGAGCAGTAGAGCCAGTCCAGAGAAGATAGAAATAGTTCCTATCTTCCTTACTGCTTATCTGGATTACCCCTATACCCTCTTAATTAGCCCCCTTATCTCCAGTATTGCTCTCCTCTTATCTACTCTTCATTTTTGCTAGAGGGACCTTTCTAAACCAAGAGCTAATTATGCTATTGTCTCTGTTTAAATGCCTCCAATGCCTCACCAGGTCATCGTGATCTAGTTCTTAATCCTTAGCAAAGCCTTGCAAGTCTTTTTGTGATCTGACCCTTACACACTTTTCCAACCTTATCTTCTGTCCCATTCCTTGTCCCCTTTAAACCTCAAGCCACACTCCCTGACTTACAGCTTCAAGAATATCCCTCAATTCTTTGCATATATTACTCCCCTTGCCTGTGACACCCCAACCTCCCAAGCTCAGCCTGGAAAACACTTACATATTTTTCAAATTTAGGGTTTTATTATTATCTCTTCCAGGAAAGCATCACTGACATCATAGCTATGAGTTAGGTATATCCTTCTGTCCTCCCACTTTCCAAGTTCTCATCATTAAACACCATGTTAAGGACCTAAAGAACAGGACCACACCTTATTCATCTCTTGCTCAGGACCTAATACAGGGCCAGGCATCTTGAGGCCCACAGCAGGTGTTTGCTGAACAAGTAAATAAATAAAATTTTGAAGGAGATCGGTATTGTAGTAGGCAATGCAGTGCCATCTACTTGGCCCCTGCTCTCAAAACTTCCACAAAATTATACGAGGATGAATATACCAGAAAAGCTGTTGTTAAGCAGTATGAGGCATTCTAAAATTCAGTTCTAAAGAGTATGCTCAGGAGCTTAACTGGTGTGGCCTTTAGGGAGTAGTTAAAGGTCTGAAATGGTTAAGAAATGGTTCATAGAAGGGAGAATTTGAGCTGAGCCTTGAAACATGGTTGAATCATATAGCTGAAGGTGAAGCTAAGGGCATGGGGAGGGCTTTGGGAAAGTCCTGAGCTAAGGCAAGAGGTTGGAACGGTGTGACTCCTCTGTGGGGTCAGTGAGAAGTCTGGTTTGTTGAACAGAGGATTTGGGGGAGGGGTGAGGTGCAGTGGGAGATAGATAGGAGCAAGGCTGAAGAGGTCAGGTTGGGCCTGATTATTCCTGGCCTAAGAAGACAGATGGAGGTGATCACCTG